GGGACACCCTGGGGATGTGGGGGGGTCCCCTTGGGGTGCTGGGGGAGGTGGGGATGGGGGACACCCTGGGGATGAGGAGGGGAGATGCCCGTTCAGGGGGATGGGGGACACAATGGGGCTGGGCATCCCCTTGGGGTCCCAGTCCTGGGCACAGGAGTCTGGGTACACCCCAGTGATGGGGGTCCCCTTGGGGTGCTGGTCCTGAGGGACTGGGGGGCACCCCAAGGATGCTCATCCCAGGGGTCCTGAGGGATGGAGGTGGGAGCAAGTGGGGTCTGGCTTGTCCCCTGTGGGATGTGGGGACTGTGGGGGTCCCTTGGGCTTCCCCCCGCTCTCCTTGACCTCTCTCTTTCCCCCCCCAGGACTCAGGCACCCTCCGGTGCAAGGCCATGGGGCCACGGGCCACGGCGAGGCAGGCGGAGGCCCAGCAGCTGCAGGAGCTGCGGAGCCGGACGGAGAAGGCCGAGAGGAGACTTCTGGCCTGCGAGAACCTGGTCGGGGAGCTGGGCAACCTCCTGCAGGACTACGGGCACCTCCAGCAGCGGCTGGACAACGTGGAGAATCTCCTGAAGAACAGGAATTTTTGGATCCTGCGGCTGCCCCCCAGCTCCCGGGGGGAGATCCCCAAGGTAAAGGCGTCCATCCTGGCCCCTGGAAGCACCGGTGCCACCGGCAAAACCCCTAAACGGTGGGATTTAGGGAATGAGGGGGGGATTTTAGCAGTGGGCTCAGGTGCTGAGCGCCTGCAAGGCCTGGACTTGCTGCCTGCAAACCCCAGTGTGGCCAGGCACCCTTTGCCTGGGCAACCAAAACCAGGCACTGGCTTCCAGACACCTGTTTCCCCATTACCCGACCGACACCGGGAGTCACCGAGCGTGTAATATTTGTGGTTCCAGGTCCCGCTCACGTTCGATGACATCTCGGTGTACTTCAACGAGGAGGAGTGGGAGAGGCTGGAGCGCTGGCAGAAGGATCTGTACCGGGCTGTGATGAGGGGCAACTACGAGATGCTGGTCTCCCTGGGTAAGGCACGGCGGGGAGGGCTGGAACCCATGGCCAGCCCCTGTGTTGAGCAGAACCTCTCCCGGGCACTCAGACCCAGGCGTTTTCCCTCCTCCCTGCTCGTAAGGAACGAACATAGATACCTCTAGTAGGTAATAGTAGCAATAATAATACGAGCAATATCAATTACACAAAATCTCCAGGCGAGATGCTGTTCCTCATGACGGCGTAAGGGGATTCCAGGGACAGGGAACCGTCGTGCTCTTCCAGCACGGTTCAGGAATTATCCCGGTGAAGCCGGATCATGGCACCTTGAACTCGTTTTCTGTCTGTTCGGCTGCTCTGTGAAGTGACAGGGAGGTTTCTGTGTTCCTTGGTAAAGAACTGACCTAATTTCGCTCCCTCACTCTCATGCTCTTGGGCGATTTGGGCTGTAAGATATTCCCTGCCTAAAGCTGTTTTTTTTGGCCATGACTGGTAACACGCTGGTCTCTGCAGCCGCTGAAATCGAGGCTTCGCTTTTCTCAGTAATGTTTTGTAGAAAAGGAATAAACCTGTTCCCCTTGTGGTCCCATGTGGCACAGACATCCCTCCAGAGCAGCAGGAAGGTCTCTGTCCCCACTCCGCAGCCGTAGCTCGGAAGAGCTGCTCTTGGAATCATGACTAAAGCCAAAATGGGAGGAAAACATTAAAGACAAACCTTTCTCCTTTGAGATTTTAGGTCATGTTCCGTTATTTAGATATTCTCTGTACTTGAGCTACTGCTGTGCTCGTGGGTGAGTCCAAACACAGGACCCACGTCACAGTTTTTCCATGTTTTAGTACAATTTGTGTCTGTCTGTCCTGCTGCTGGCGCCGGGGTCAGGGAGAGAGGGGTCATTTTGAGAGTTTGACAGAATAAAGATGCATCTGGTTCCTAAATAAACACGATGCTCCTCTGCCCCCTGAGCAGACTACGCCATCTCCAAGCCTGACATCCTGTCCCGGATGGAGAGGGATGAAGAGCTCTGCATCCGAGAGGGTCAGGAGCTCCCACTGACAGACCTCGGAAAGGATCAGGAGCCCCCAGGGGCACCAGAAGAGATGGACCAGACGGAAGAGCCTTTGGGAGAAGACGAATTCCACTTGGAATTTGACACGGGTACGTTCGGTGGGTGCCGGGAGGAGGTGGCAGCTCCTCTCTCAGCTTTGTCAGGACATTTCCCAGCGGTGTCTGTGTAAGGAATCAACTGCTCCGAGGGTTTTTTGACCTTTATTGTCTAAACCTCCACGGAGTACCTGGAATCTTTTTTCCAAGAGGAACATTTATGCTTGGCCAGATGAATCCTGTGGAGAAAACCAGACAGAGCCCGTCAGGAGGGGCTGGGATGGAGTCTGGAGGGGTGGGACAGGCCTCCTGTGATCCCTTCCAGTCCTGTCTCCGTGCAGTTGGACAACCCTCCTTCACCTGATGGCATGTGTGAGCCCTAGGGCTTCCAAAACTCCCTCCTGCTTGCCTTGGTGAGAGATGAGACGTGGTGGGAAGTGAGGAACCAGGGAATCTGCAGTGGGAGGAGGAGGTTGGAGCAGCTCTGGTGGTCAGGAGAGCCTTGGGACATGGCATAAGAGCTGGAAAAATCCACAGTTAAGAGCGCGAAGGGTGGGCAAGAAGGTAGGAGCTGCTGGAAAGGGATGGGCAGACCCTGAGAGAGCCAAGAGAAGAAGAAATGCGAGGGCAGAGCCTTGATAGAGAGCTCTTTGCTGCAGGACTGAGGAGCTGGGGGGCTAAAGAAGCCCCAGGAGAGACTGGGTGAGCCGGGGAGGGGGGGGACAGAGGCAGGGTCAGGGAGAGAAGGGGCACCTTGAGGGTTCGACAGAATAAAGGAGCAGCCAGTTCCTAATTAAACATGATGTTCCTCTGCCCCATGAGCAGATGATGATGTGTCCACACCTGATGCCCTGTTCTGGATCGAGAGGGATGAAGAGCACGGTGTCCAAGAAGGTCAGGAGACCCTGTCGATACAAATCAGAGACAATCAGGAGTCCCCACAGACAAACGTCCCCAGCGGTCAAGAGTCCCCACAGACAAGCATCCCAGATGGTGAGAAGTCCCCACAGACAAACGTCCCAGATGGTCAGAAGTCCCCTCAGACAAGTGTCCCAGATGGTCACAAGTCCCCACAGACAAGCGTCCCAGATGATCAGAAATCCCCACAGACAAGTCCTCCACAGACAAACGTTCTAGATGGTCAGAAATCCCCACAGACAAATGTTCCAGATGGTGACAAGTCCCCACAGACAAGCGTCCCAGATGGTCAGAAGTCTCCACAGACACCAGAAGAGACGGGCCAGAAGGAAAAGGCTTTGGGACAAGATAAAGTCTCCATGGAAGCCAACACAGGTGAGTTATGTAGGGGCAAGAAGGACTTGTGTCCCGGAGCCGTTCCTGTCCCAGATCTCTCAGGAGGAGGTTTCCCAGCAGTGTCTGTGGGAGAGGCCATGGCAGGTCACCGTGATTCCAGGGAAAATGGACATGGTTTGAGGTCCTGAACACAAGGCAATATGGGAATGGTTCCTGTAGAACTGGTGGGGAGGGATTAGGAGTGATGAGGTTGCTCTACAGAGGTGACAGCACCTTGAGGTGCCACCAGAGACGGCATCTTGGTGACTGGAACAGGAACAGGTTGCCCAGAGAAGCTGTGGCTGCCCCGTCTCTGGAGGAGGTCAAAGCCAGGTTGGAGGGGGCTTGGAGCAACCTGGGCTGGTGGGAGGTGTCCCTGCCCAGGGCAGGGGGTGGCACTGGATGATCTTTAAGGTGTCTTCCTAGCCAAACCATTCTATAATTCTGTGACTTTCCTCTGAGCTCTCTCTCTACTTTTGGTCCTTGTGTAGCTTCATTCCAGTTCCTTCTGACACCTCACACGTTTTCCATAGAATCATTGAGGTCGGAGAAGACCTTTAAGATCGTCAAGACCAATCCTTAACACTGACAGACCCACCACTACCCCATGTCCCTCAGCACCACGTCTGCCCAGCTTTTCAATCCCTCCAGGGATGGTGACTCCACCACTGCCCTGGGCAGCCTCTTCCAAAGCTTGACAACCCTTTCCAGGAAGGAATTTTTCCCAATCTCCATCCTAAACCTCCCCTGGTGCAACACCTCATGGCTCCTTGAGCCATGGCTTTCCCTGGCTCTTCTGGGCATGCTCCCAGCACATCTCTGGTTGGCACCACACCAAAGCAGGAAGGTGTGAGCTCTCTGCACGTGTTAAAAATCTGCTTTTCTCCGCAAACAGAGCTCCCCATCCTGGTGATGAACGTCATGTCTCTGAGCGCGCAGGACAAGGAGCTGCGTGGGGAAGGTCGGCCCGAGGAGGAGATGGAAGAGGACCCAGCTGAGCCCAGCCCCGGTGAGTAACCCGGTGAGGGGGGGACGCGGGGCCCCCACAGGCAGGAAGCAGCTCATTAATGTGCTTGAAATGGGGAAGGAGAAGAAAGTTTGAGGCCTCCTTTTTATCACCGAGCGTGGGGGCTGGCGGTGGGCGTTTCAGCCCTGTTATCTCTGCAGAACAACAGCTGGGGTTCCTTCTCTCAAGGATGGAAGGGGCATGGCCACCCACAGGCACCCTCTGCTCTGGTCCCAAAGCTTTGCCAAGCTCCGTGTGTCCTTTTCCAGGGACTTGGAGCCTGGAAAAGGCTTTGGTACCTGCAGTTAAGTGGCACAGATTATGGGCATGGCTTGCACTGGCCAAATGGCTTGTGCCCGGCTGCTGTGGGGTGTGGAGAGCTTGCCATCGGCTCATGGGAGCTACATCTTGTGGCTGTTGGTGGTGTCCTGGTTGTGCCACCAGTCCCGAGGGTGTCACAGCAGACCACAGCCGGGTTCTTCCTGGGGGAAAGAGATCTGTCCCCCAAGACCACGCTGGGTGTCTCGGGGCGCGTGGGCAGGACGCCGTGGTGGCACCTGCACCTTTCCAAACTGTGTGCTCAGATCTGTCGGTAGCTCCTTTGTTGCTAAAAGTCTCCCTTGGTGCTTTGGGACTTGACCACAGCCTGGTTAAGTCCCAGTTAATGCTGGGAGGGTGAATGACCAGCGCCTGGCTTCCCTTTCAGAGGAAAGCTTTTTGCCGGGAAATGAAGCGGCGTGTGAAGGGGCTTCTCCTCCTGAAAACCTCAAGGTGAAGGAAGAGGTTTCTGCGTCCTCTCCCAGCCCGGAGATGCAGAAGTGCCCCAAAAGCGAGCAGGGCAAGGCCAAGCCCAAGAAGAAGCCGAGCCGCTGCGCGGGCAGGAGGCTCCTGATGGGCAACTGCCGTCGCGGGGACGTGCGCGAGTGGTCACACCCCTGCACCGAGTGCGGGAAGCGCTTCCGCCTGAAAATCAACCTCATCATCCACCAGCGGAGCCACGCCAAGGAGGGGCCCTACGAGTGCACCGTGTGCGAGATCAGCTTCACCGACAGGCACCGCCTGGACCTTCACCAGAGCATCCACGTCAAAGACAGGGCCTTTGGGGCCAAGGTCTGGGGGAACGTCCACCCGGAGCTGAGGATCCGGCCCAGGAGGAAGGGCCAGGTGGCTTTTTGTGGAGATACCAACGGCTTGAACCACGAGACTCACTCTGGGGGGGGTACCTGGCTGGGCCAGGCCAAGGAGGAACTGGATAGAGGGAGCCTGCCCAGCATGTGTTTCTCCCGACAGCAGAGACGTCCCGAGACGAAATGCATTTATTGCAAAAAGATTCTCTCCTGCCCCTCTTCTCTTCAGCGGCACCTGCAAACCCACTTGCAGGACAGGCCGCACTGCTGCACCACCTGCAAGAGGTGCTTCACCCGCCGCACCCACCTCTACCGACACCAGAAAATACACGACCGGCAAAAAGCCCTGGCTGAGCCCCACCAGCCCATCCCTGTCCCCGTCCCCCCGCCGGCCCGGCAGCCCCAGCCACGGGCAGCCCCAACGCCTCCTCACTCATCCCTCCAGGAATCCAAGAAAAACGTGGCCACCAAAGGGGTTCCAGCAAACGTGGGCCTGCTGGGTCCTGCAGAACTCGGGGGGCTGGGCAAGGACCACCAGATCTGGGGTGAGAGGAGCGTCCAGACGGGGGTCAGACTAAGAAATAGGGTGGTGGTTTCAGAGAACTGACGACACGAGGGACCCAAGCTGCTGGAGAGAAACGGCGAGCGTTGATGTTTGCACGTGGTGGAGCACCGTGGGGCTGCGCGCCGTCTCGTCCACTGGGTTTTAGGAGCTTTCCTGGGTTGTAGAAGGAATCGAAAGGTTGGGTCCCACCACAGAGAGCAAACGATTTGCCTCCAGTGATCCCAAGCGCTTCGCCATTCCTCAGACTCCCCATTTCCCCTGGCTGACTTTGTTGGGAGGTGAGCAGGCACGAATCCTACAACCCGGAGAGAGGAATTGCCACCAGCCCTTGAGCTCCCCTGTTTATTTCCCGCTGGAGCTGACCCTTCTCCTCCAGAAATCCAAGGAATTACGCAGTGAAGAGGACGAGAGAGAAGGGGATGAAGCTGGTGGGATTCCCAAGGAGCTCTTCACCTCACCGAAGGCAAGAATTTCTTGCCCCCAGCCACTGGATGAAGAGACCGTGCCATCTCCGAGGCCCCCACCGCCTCCTGGCCACGCTTTGCTCTGGTGAGGAAGTCTCCCAACCCCCTCCATCAGGCTGGGGAACACCCGAGCCTTGTGTTAAGAAGATATGGAGGAGGAATCACACCACAACATTTCCCTCCTGGCCCCGAGGGGGTTTTTGAGGTCCCAGCAGCTCTTCTTCCCCCAACAAGAAGCCCCCAGAAACACCCACCGAGTCACCTCGGGACCCGCCTGCACCGAAGGAGAGTCGCTTTAGAAATAATTAATGGTGGAATCACCCCTGTGCTGCGGCAGCAACAGTCGGCGCCAGGACCCCTCCTGGGGGCTCAGATGGTTGTCAGCTGTGGAAGGAAACCCCCGCCCCACTCTCCAAAACGCGGGTGTTTTTTAGTCATGTGCAAAATCCCACTAATTAGTCCCGCGGAAGCCTCGTTCTGCTACCTACCTCAAACCTCTGGTGGAGTGAGACCTGCCCCGGTGGCCCATGGGGACCTGGAGCCTGGTAAGTGACAGAAACCACCTCAGGTGGTGGCTCCGACGTCCCCAGGAACCGCTCGAACTGCTCCTGTCCACGGACGGAGCCCCTCGAGCATCGTCGTGTACGGAGAGAAGGGGAAATCACTGAATCACTCCGGGTGGCATCGCCCTGCGGACCAACCCGAGCAGCTCTTGGGACTCATGGAGTTTACTTTTCTGTGTGGTTTTTTTTATTTTTCCTTAAGTGGTTTGATGTTAATTATTTGACGTCACTCAGTCCCTGTCTCTCTCCAGGTGGGGAGCAGGGAGAAAACCAGTTTGCTTATCGAATTTTATCATTCCTGGCTACTCACGAGGTCTGATGGGCTACCAGGGAGGTTGCTGCGGGCCCCTGCTGCGTCCTGGTGTAACCCTGTGCCACCAGAGGGGACAGCGGTGACAGAGCTGCTCCTTGGAGACACACGTGACATCCCACTGCTCCTTCGGGCTGCTTTCTCTCAATCCTGTCCCCCAGGATTGTGGCTTGTGCCAGGACTGGAGTGTTAGCCACAAGGAGGTGATGGTGGCAGACAGGTTGTCCTCGTGTCCCCAGTGGGTTGATGGTGGCGCCGTGATGGTGGGTCCTGCTCCGGCACGGCCTGTAGTGGCCAAACCAGTTCTCCCTGCCCGGGTAGAGACCCCCCAGTTGATCCCAGTGACACAAGTCAACTGGTGTGACACTACTGCTGGTGGGCAACACCTGCAAGGCCAGTGTGGGTGGCCGTGGGGGGGGGCAGACCTTCCCTCGAGCCAGTTCCACCCCCCCACACCCTGGGACATTTCTGCTGAAGCTGTTGTGACTGGGACCATCGTTTCCCATGAAATCCCAGACCCCTTTTCTCAGGCTACAGAGTTAAATAAAGTATTTGTCTGTACCTGCTGCCTGGTTTGGGGGGGCTGAGGTGGCCCTCTCTGGGAGGGGGGGGGGG